GGGTGAATTGTGGATAGACCCCCTTTACTATCATCAAACAGAACTTTATCCCTGTAATTCTATTGTCGCAGATAGACACTCTGAAAGAGTTTTATTCTCGCAAATAGAACCCCTGAAGCAGTTCTATTGTTGCAGATGGACTCCCTGAGTGAAAACCTATTGTTGCAATAGACCCCTGAAAAGAGTCAAAAAATTTCACTTAGGGGCCTATCTGGAACAATAGAACAATAGGGGTAGTAGTTTATTAATTTGATGATAGTACAAGAGGTCTATCCACTATTAAGCTGTTTTTAGTGTATGAGGTAAACAATTTCCACATTGCTACCATATATAATATGAACTTCCTACTTCGCATTTGTAGATTTGTTATTTTTGATATTTGTGAATAAGGGCTATTCTATGAAGCTCATGTTTAGTTTATTGAAGAAGCATCTAGATTAAGACGGCCTTAACTGATGCTGGTTCTATTTGGTCTCCAGCTTTAGGTATGAATAGTGCATTGTGGAGGCAAGTTCATGACTCAATCTAATTTATTTTTTTAATGCATTGAGTTAAGTTAATTGTTACTTACCTCCCTTAATTCACTTATATTTGTTTATGGCAGACAGCTTCTGAAGTTGATGGGAGATGTTACCAGCAAGGCCTGCAATGGAGCCAAGGGAATAATGAATGTTAATTCATTTGGCACATCCTCATTATTATTATTTTCAGCATAATAATTAGTTCTCTGATTGATTTATTTCTGAGACTATTATGTATGGACCTGAATGCAAATGAATATTCATGCCAGCAATCTTAGTGGGCATATCATAATCTCTTTCGCTTGTTATTCCATCTATGCTGCAGCTTTCTCTGTTGGTTCTGATGGATCATGTTAATATTATTTGTTTCTTTCATTTTCACTATTAACCTAAATTTGGGAATAGAACAAGTGCGACTACTAATTGCCAAGCTGGGGTTAGGGTTGAGCTTCACGGAGATGGGTTGTTGCATTTGGAGTTGGCTAGCTTGGATCATAATCATCTGGTTAGCCTGTCGATAGAGAGACTTTTGAATTGTTATAAGCATTTGACTGGATTCGTGAACAAGAAGGCGTTGAGGGAGCAAGAGGAGAATATGGTAGCTCAGAGTGAGGAGCCGGTGCAACCTGTGCATGTTGATAAATCTTGAGGAGCTTTTGTTTACAGAATCAGGGTTTTCTTGAGAGAGGGAGGTTGAGATTTGGGGAGGGTGATCGAAGGCAATTAGATTGTTTTTTACGCGAATGCAAGCGAAAATCTAACTTTTTTATTGTGGTTGATTTGGATGAGGAGGGTTGTGCCAGAAATGTGTTTTGGGTTGATGCAACATCTAGGGCTGCTTACCAGTATTATAGTGATGTGGTTACGTTGGACACAACGTGTATATCGAATAGGTTTTATTTGCCACTTGCATGTTTTGTTGGTGTGAATCATCATGGCCAGCCTGTGCTATTGGGTTGCGGTTTGCTTTCTGATGAGACTGCGGAAACTTACATTTGGTTGCTGAATGCTGAAGGCTTGGATTGCTTGTATGTTAAAATACATGCTGAATGATTTCAGATTATTGTAAAGGGATACAGAGTGCGGTTGCTGAGGTGCTACCAGGGGTTCATCATCATTTCTGCTTGTTTCAGATAATGAAGAAAGTCCAGAGAATTTGGGTGGGTTGGCCGAGTATAGAGCTATTCACAAGTAATTGCAGAAGGCGGTGTATGACTCATTGAGGATGGATGAGTTTGAGGAGGAATGGAGGAAGATGGTGGAGATATATGCGCTTCAGGGTAATGATTGGTTAAGTTTGTTGTATGAATTTCGGCATTCATGGGTACCAGTCTATTTGCAAGATGCATTTTGGGCAGGTATGTCCACTATTAAATGAAATGAATCTCCTCCACCCTTCTTTGAAGGGCAGTTCATTAGTAATATGAGATGGCTTTACAGAATAAGTATGAAGAGGAACCCCAAGCAGATTTTGACACATTCCATAAAAGGCAGCCTGCAGTGTCGAAGTTTTACATGGCAGAGCAGTTGTCCAAGGCTTACACTATTAACATGTTCAAAAAATTCCCAGACGAGATTGAGGCTATAATGTACTGCCATGATTCGGTTGTCAGCGTGGAGGGGTCAAGTTCTACCTTCGATGTCAAGGAATGTATCTTTCTGGAAGATGGTAAGAGGACGATGAATAAGAACCATGGAGTTCTTTATGATGCTGAAAAAAAAAGGATGTTCGATGCATATGTGGCTCTTTCCAGTTCACGGGTATTCTCTGTAGACATGCTTTGTCAGTGTTCAAACTGCAACAAGTTTATGAGGTTCCATCTCAGTTTGTTTTAGATCGCTGGAAGGAGGACTTGAAGCGCTTGCATGTTATGAACCCACCATCAGAAGATATTGTTGCTAATAATTGTGCGGATCGTTATGATTATTTATCAATGAGATGCCTTCAGCTTCTTGGGGTAGGGGCTTTATTTATCTGATAAGTATCAACTTGCTCTAAAGTCGATTAGGGAAGCAGAGAAGTTTCTTCTGAGTGATACCACGTATGATGACGCATGACCTATGATTACTTTTTGCATAAATAAAGCAAATAAACTAGACAAGGATGGTGTTCAAGGCGTTGACAAGGTAAAATGGAGATGAAGGGAGACGACAGAAAGTAGGAGGCCACCACAAGGAGAAGAGGCTCAGGCGTGGGCGACGATATAATCATCAAAGCAGGATATTTAATTCATTCGCATGATTTAAAATTAGACCTAGTTCAGTTAATTTCCTTTCGCTGCATCAGATTCCACAAGGAATGTCCAAGGTTGGTAATCCGCCGTATCAGTTTCAAGTTGTTCCTGCCATACCATATTTACAACCCAATGTTGGGTCACAACTAGGCAAGAAGCAAATGGTATTTATGCTATCCCATAATTTTATCTTTTCTTGTGTACTCTAATGTACAACATGGATTTGTCTTCATATAAATGACACAACTATATATTGGCAACCAAGCAGCAAGAGGCCCAGTGTTGTTCATATGTTTCTGGTGTGTAATTAGTTGAATACGTAAACCAAGTTTTTTCATTATTTCGGTAATTTTATTGTGAAAAGCTAGAAGCGCGGATGTCATGATTGTGTTTAACAAAACAGCACCTTATTATGTGCTTATTATTTGACAAATTTGAATTACTGCCTTCTTGTTTCCCCAAAAGTAGATGCTGCTTATATTGAACACAGTGCTTCCTTTCTGAAAAATGACTCTTATTTCATGATAGGGTGGTTACGATCCTCAAACACTTGGAAATGGATCGAGCGATGATGCCATGGATCTATCTGCAGATGTACCAGGTCTGACTCTAAGTTAATTTGTATCCAAGTTCTCAGGTGATTTTTTTTTTTAAACCATTGTTATAAGTTTCACAAGGCTGCTATGAACTTTGGGGGATTTTGCTCAAAACTACTGTGAACTATTTTTAAGAAATAAGGTTAATGGAATTTTTTGACAAAACTATTGAGTTTGAGGGCAATTTAAAATTGAGTAACATATGAGGGGGGAAAACCTACGAGTTAGTATTTTAATGTTGTTTTAACAAGAAATTAAACGAAGAGCATTTATGTAAGAGATGTGGCTACATCTTAAATTGGCACTATATAAACATTGGCAAAGTGAAAATTACAAAAACCAGGGTAGGCATTTGCCTAACCTGGAGTACATGTGGCTTTGCTCGGGTACGTAATTAAGGTAAGTTATCGTGTGAGTTTGAGGGCAGTTTGGGTAGTGCTTCACACTTGACATGTTTTTGGAAAAAAAAATTCTTGTATGTATTTTTTTGGGTTAGGGACCTTAAGGTTTGTAATAAGGGTATGTTAAGACATTTTATCCAAGACGTTAACATTGTTAGCAACAATTTTGCCTAGTCCATGGTCATTTTTCTCCAATAAATATATTTTACTGTAGCCTTTTCCCCTTTGAAAGTTCATGGTATCTTTCAAAATATACCCTTTCCTCTTATCAAATTGATAATGGCTTTGTTTCTGTTATTGTGGCTGGTGCGAAGTCAGGTCTTAGCCATAACCAGACGAAGACTGATAAACTCAATGAGGTACGCCAGTGGCACACAGACTCAAATATCCCTGATTGATGCCAGATTCTAGATTATTGGGTGAGCAGGTTACAGGTTATGGCTACAATGTTTCTTCTACTTTGATGATGATGTTGCATACAATTAGAAGCGTTCGCCTTAGCCTAGATGCATACGATTAGAAGCCTGAGCCTAGTTGTCGTATATTTATCTCTATGGTAATAATCCCTCTTTCTAAGTAGCTCAAATATCCTATAAATTTGTTTGAGAAACTTCTGTATCTCATTTTGGTTGTGACTTGCTGTACGTTCTTGACAGGTACGAGGCAGTCGAAAGTAACTAACAACCTATTGAGTTAAGCAAGATTTCCGTATACAAATACTGAGAAGGAACAAAGACACATTCAAGAGTAGGAGAAGAAATTGTGTGTGGGCGCGCGCGCACGCGTGTAAAATGCAATTGGAAGTGTGATTCTTCTAAAAGAGAGTGCTTCTTTTGTAAAAACGAATTAATTTTTATAGACAGGAATAAAAAAACCTGTTGATCCTAAATCAAATGCCCTACCGGCATTCAAAGATCTGTTTCTTTGCCATAATTTGTTATTGGGGAAAAACGTGTTCTCGCATCCTCTTTCTAAAATAAAAAATTTACCACTCTTTTAACTTTCGTTTTAAATTTTGCGCCTCATTACATTGCAGTCTGCTTTGTATCCTGGTGTTTTATTGTGAAAACGTACCTTTTTCCGTTTTAAATTGGTCTGTATGGGTTGATATTGAAAAAAAAAATTCATATTGAAATTTGATTGTTTGCTGCTAAGACCCTGAGTACGAACTTCTCTTCAGCAGTACTAAGTTGCTAGAACTGAATTGGTACAATTTTGAAGCTAGTAATCTGAGATGGTTAAAGACTTAGAAGTTTTTAAGTCAGTGCATACGTCTACTGTAGAGACACCTGGAATTTTTTTCCCCTTCGATAATTCTAACTAAACTATACTCTCCAAACTATTGCTAAGCTACTGCGAACAAACATTTCCCCCCCAAACAATTGACCAGTGGATCTTGAAAGCTTAAACCATTGCTCAAAGAGAGGTATATACACTTCTGGTGTAGAAAAATAGTAAGACTCCGCTCCCAATAATCATCGAAACAAAATATAAGAGGGGAAAAAAGATTATCTGTGAATGGAATTGATCTATTTTTTAATAGAAATCCGATCGATATCGGAAGCATTCACAACACATGAAAGATTCTCAAGTACTGCAAGCAACATGCACCTAACATAGGTGTAAATTACCTGAAGCTATTATCCTCGTGGAAATCAGGGGACAACATATAATCAATTCGCAGATTTGTCCTCATGAATTTTAACAGTGTTAAAATAAATGGTAAATTAGCAAACATTCATATTTAGAAAATAAATCTACAGATGCGATAGATTCAGAAGGCATACGGACAAAAGGGGAAAAAATTAGCTATTTATTTATTTACAAAAATAAAAAATGAATGAAACAGGACAACTATTAGCCGAATTGCATAGGAAATAGCGGGCTTTAGTCCCACATCGTCTGAGCTCCATAGTATCCGAGCTGGAGATGGATATAAAAACAGGTTGTTGGGCTGCTGAGATCCATACTTACCTGGACGGGGTCATTGGGTGATCAATGAGGCCCAGGCCTAGTTTAGTGGCCCACATTGCACAAAAGTGGGTGCGCTGAGCTACCATCTCCCCAAGCGGGAGAGTGGACGTCATTATTTGTTGCTGAGGGGGTACGCGCACGCGCGGCCCCTGCCCAAATCTAAAATTAAATTTGTATTATTAATGTTCCCGGCTAAATGATACCCAATAGGGGTGTATTTGGTCCAGATATGAAACTTATCATATTTATATTTGTTTAACTTATCATATTTATATTTGTTTATGTATTTCAGATATATATATCTCGGTAAGAAAATTTTATATTCAAAATTTATATTCATATCCGTTAAAATTTATCATATTTATAGTTGTTTATGTATTTCGGTTACATACATATCTATCATACATATCTATCATAAGAGTATAACTAATGTGCATTCGGATATTTTACTACAAAATCATATTTGTAACTATATCCTATCGGTTATAGACTCAAATAACCATATTCGTCCTAACGTATACAATTTCAGATATGTCCTTGGATATGGATGTTGTTTAGTACCTAAATAACCTTTTGAACTCTCCAATTTGTTATATACCCTTAGTTGTATATTTATGTTTTGTAGCATTTATATGCCTTGAGTTGTTCAAAATTGAGACATTAATACCCTTTCTATATTTTTGTTTCGTAGCAACACTAATGCCCTTTGTATATTTATGTTTTGTAGCATTTACCCTCGGTTGTTTAAAATTAACACATTAATATCCTCTGTTATGTAAATGTGAAAATATTCATCCGAAAGTTTTCATATAACATTCATATATTAACTTTAGACCTTTTTGACCATTAATATTTATTAAAGAAGAATTTTTCAAAACAGACCCACTTCAACTTTTTTTTCTTAAAACCGACCCGTTTTTTTTTATTTATCAAAACCGACCCGATTTTGTAATTAGCAGATTAATCACATTCCTAAACAGTCGGGGTTGGCAACCCCGACTATTTAGGACATTAATTTTTAGGGTTTAAGGCTTCTAATTAGGGTTTAACACCTTCCTAAATAGTCGGGGTTGTCAACCCCGACTGTTTAGGATGGTGATTAAGCTGTTAATTATAAAATCGGGTCGGTTTTGATAAATTAAAAAAAAAACGGGTCGGTTTTAAGAAAAAAAAGTTGAAGCGGGTCTGTTTTGAAAAATTCTTCTTTATTAAATTACTATTAAATATACACAAATTCTAACTTAAATGCTGCCCAATTCTATATTAAAAATAGAATTTGAAAAGATTTAACGATGAATTCAACAAACTTAGTAGACATAAAGTTATAAAATTAGTATAAGATTTTATGAGAACTTTCGGATAAAAATTTTCACGTTTTCAAAATAGAGGTACTAACATGCAAATTTTAAACAACTGATAATATATATGAATATTACAAAATACAACTGAGGGCATATAAGTGCTAAGGGAGTAAAACTATATGGTATTTAAGTGCTAGTTAGCCTTTTTTTTCATTCTAGAAATCAAGTATATATTTGGTGTATTGCTAAACTTTTTATTTTCTTGATAATCATTGCGTTTTTGGGATGTGTTTTTTATTTTACACATGATTATTGGTTTTTAGGTTACGTGGATTGTGCTCTTATAGAGGAAATCAATTGTGTTAACTTATTGTTGGTTTTAAATTTATGTTATACTATAATTTAGTTATTTTATTAATGTTGCTCAAGAAAACTTTGTCCTTCGAGTAATGTATGTGGATTATGACCACTTAAAAATTGAATTACTTAGTTTGTATTAAATATTGTATATTACTTTAAAAATTTAATAGTAGGAAATATATTGCAATTTTTAGTTCATGTTCTATCTCTCTGGGGTAAAATAGAATAATTAATATACAGAACTTCTCTTATATCCGATGCATATGTGTTTGCCAACTAGCTAATTAATATTCGAAACCGTTTTGTATCCATCTCTCTAATATACACACCAGATCAATTTTATCTTTTTTTTGCGGATATAATTATAGCTTTTTCTTACTGAAAAAAAAATGTATATGTATCACTATCCGTTTTTAGAATGTAAACACAAATATGATAAATATCATGTCTGAAGCTTATCTGAATCTATTTGCAACCCTAGCGCTGAATAATCTTTTCCATTTTCTAAGCTAGATCAACTTAGCTCTTGATTGTAGAATAATTTCAAAACCAACCCTCGATTTGGGTGTTTCTCAAATAATCCCTTTTAACATTTAAAATTTCATAAAACTTCCCCTTAAGTTTTGGGGTTCTCAAAATACCCCCTTCAAGTTTAAACAATTTTCCAAGAAACCCTTCCTCCTAACCGCATTAGCTTGGGTGGTTTTCTAGTAATTTAAACAAGATTTTGGTATCAGAGAAAACACCCAGTCATCCTAATCCAGTGCATTAATAATTCATTTTTTAAAAAAATATCTACTCTCACATCAATTGGATACATTTCCACGTCTACTAATCCAAAGATAAACGTCACTCTAAGAGAGCAACCCCAAGCAAAGAATCAAGAAAGTATTTTCTTAAGCCCCATACAAATTATCTGAAGCTATTATTATCCTCATGGAAATCAGGGGACAACATATAATCAATTCGCAGATTTGTCCTCATGAATTTTAGCAGTGTGGAAATAAATGGTAAATTAGCAAACATTCATATTTAGAAAATAAATCTACAAATGCGATAGATTCAGAAGGCATACGGACGGACAAAAGGGGAAAAAATTAGCTATTTATTTATTTACAAAAATAAAAAATGAAAGAAACAGGACAACTATTAGCCGAATTGCATAGGAAATAGCGGGCTTTAGTCCCACATCGTCTGAGCTCCATAGTATCCGAGCTGGAGATGGATATAAAAACAGGTTGTTGGGCTGCTGAGATCCATACTTACCTGGACGGGGTCATTGGGTGATCAAGGAGGCCCAGGCCTAGTTTAGTGGCCCACATTGCACAAAAGTGGGTGCGCTGAGCTACCATCTCCCCAAGCGGGAGAGTGGACGTCATTATTTGTTGCTGAGGGGGTACGCGCACGCGCGGCCCCCGCTCAAATCTAAAATTAAATTTGTATTATTAATGTTCCCGGCTAAATGGTACCTAATGGGGTGTATTTGGTGCGGATATGGAGCTTATCATATTTGTTTATGTATTTTGGATACATACATATCTCGATAAGAAAAAATTATACATATCTTGATAAGAAAAATTTATATTCATATCCGCTAAAATTTATCATATTCATATTTGTTTATGTATTTCGGATACATACATATCTCTCATATCCGCTAAAATTTACTACGATAAGAAAATTTTATATCCATATCCGCTAAAATCTTCCACGGTTGCGGATATATATGCGGATACATACAAATCCATAATTTAAGAATTAAAACTATCATAAGAGTATAACAAATGAGCTAACATAACAAAAGAGTATTTTAGTCTTTTAAAATTAACTTTCTATCTGCTTTCTATCCTAAACTGCTAACTAAACGCAGCGAAAGAAAAAAAATTAGCCAAGGGGATCACCGCCTTTGTTCCGCCACATAAAAAGAAAAAAAAGACAAGAAATCAGAGAGAGAAGGAAGAACTTCTATAGTGTTCACGTGTGATAGAGATAGTGCATGCATGCAAACCGTAAGAACTTCTATAGAAAAAATTTTAGCCGGCTTGATTAATTAGCTTATAAACATGGAGATTATATTTTTAATTTAGTAACTAAAGCGACTACATCATCCTATATAATTAAAAAATTTACACGTAAGTTGCTGCTATGAAAGCGACTACATCATCTGCGACGAAGCAACGAAAGCGCGCGACTACATCATATGCAACGAAAGCGACTACATCAAACTAAATAATTAAATTTTTTTAAGCATAAGTTGCTGCAGCTAAAGTCACCACATCATATTATGTAATTAAATTTAAAAAAAAAAGAATAAGATGAGAGCACCTTTCATGACGTTCCCTTCACGAGATTTTTTGGAGACGGAGAGTACGGAGCGTTATCTTCAAGAGAGGATCTTTTTTTTTTCTACAGGAAAGTGCGGAGCATGACTTGATAACGTGGTAAAAAATTGTAACGTTAATCGGAGAATTCTAACTAATCATAAATTTTGTTTCTCTCCTAAATTGCATTTCCTAAAATAACCTTTTTACCTATAGTTAATTACAATCTTGGGTGTGGAACACCTCCTAACCGCTAAATCTATCTACCTAGAAATATGAGAGCTATTTTTAAAGAAATTATTTATAGATATGCCACCAGTGCTCCAACAAATCTTTATGGAGCACCGAAGCTGTTAGCTTACTTAGTTTGTATTAAATATTGTATATTACTTTTAAAAATTAATAGTAGGAAATATATTGCAATTTTTAGGTCATGTTCTCTCTCTTTGGGGTAAAATAGAATAATTAATATACAGAACTTCTCTTATATCCGATGCATATGTGTTCGCCAACTAGCTAATTAATATTCGAAACCGTTTTGTATCCATCTCTCTAATATACAAACCAGACCAATTTTAGCTTTTTTTGCGGATATAATTATAGTTTTTTCTTACTGAAGAAAAAATGTAATATGTATCACTATCCCCTTTTAGAAAGAAAACACAAATATGATAAATATCATGTCTGAAGCTTATCCGAATCCATTTGCAACCCTAGTGCTGAGTAATCTTTTCCATTTTCTAAGCTAGATCAACTTAGATCTTGATTGTAGAATAATTTCAAAACCGTCCCTCGATTTGAGCGTTTCTCAAATAACCCCTTTTAACATTTAAAATTTCATAAAACCTCCCCTTAACTTTTGGGGTTCTCAAAATACCCCTTTCAAGTTTAAACAATTTTCCAAGAAACCCTTCCTCCTAACCGCATTAGCTTGGGCGGTTTTCTAATAATTTAAACAAGATTTTGGTATTAGATGCCACATTCAAATATTTCACCTGAAACATTCAAATATTTCACCTGAAGTTTATTCAGGTGCAAATGGCACAAGATGCCACAAACGGGATGCCCCTAAACTCCCCCAGGGGCAAACTGAATAAATTATACACCAATCGAAAATTGGAGTACAATAGTATAACCAATATCATTTATTGACATAATGAATTTATTCTCCTGCAAATGGAACCTGATCAAAATATAACACCTCAGGGACAAGATGACTGAGGTAGCATTCATCAGTTCAGGCTGCAAACAAAGCCTCTTCCCTCCGAGAGAAATATAATTACGCCTGCAACAAGCTAGAATATTTGGATCCGAGGAATGGCCTCTGGATGCAGAGCAGAGCGTTCTTAGTCACTTCGGAGTTCTCATGGTTCATGAGCTTCATCACCCGCTCCTTTGCCTTGTGAGATCCCAGACGACAATACGACCACCATGATGATACTGCATGAACTGAGAGAGATCGTAGCAAGTGACAGCAAGTGCTGTGGGATCATTTGAAGTGTCCATGATTGTGATGAGAACGCGCAAAATCTGCAACAGAATGTACCGGACAGTTATTTAAACATAGAAGAAAGCATTAATATTGGAGTCAAGAAGGTACTAAAATGAAACTGATATTCAGAACAGGAATTTTGAGGAAGCAAAGCACACAGAAACGGAAATGCGAAAGCTTATTGGAGGCTTTCGGTCACAGTAAACTTCTTTCCTAACCTCTTACTTCATCATCCTCAAGAATCCTAACTCACATCTAACAGAAGTCTATAACTTTTTTTTAATAAATTTTCCTATCCAAAGTTATTACAAGGATAATAAAGCCTCTATCCCAACCACCCTTGGTCATCATCAAATCAGAAGTTTTCTCGATTAAATACGAAAACTAATAGGAGAACTTGATAGTTCAGAAGGCCATGAGTCCATACAAAATTTCAGAACAAAACATTTATCTTGATTAATGGCAATTCCTCAATTACCAGGTCACAAGAATTACGCTGCAGAGAAAATGCCGATGGCTATGCAGTTTGTTTCATCAAGCAAGCATAATTAGACACTATTACAAGCAAAAGAAAATATTCAAAACACTCTCAAAGCTGAAAAATGTGTCTCGAAATTTCTAAAACATCCATGAAATTTATAAATAGGGAACAGGTCCACCCGACTTTTTAGAAAAGGAGAAGATGAGGAAGACAAAAGCGAGACAGATAAAAAGGACGAGGAGATTGAAAGGGAAATCCCTTCAGAGTTATTGCTAATAAGAGTCACGTACGCACAGAAAATTCCTCTGTCCTCAGAGTTACTACTCCAAGTAGGCCTAGGTATTAGGAATCCCTAATTATTAAGTTTCTTCGTATCCTAACTCTACTTAGACTAGGATTCCTTCTTAACTGAGGAAACCTTGGCCTCTATATATGTAAACCCTACATGCGTATTGAAACCCCATGAAGACCAGGCTGGCAGTAGCTCGCCAGAGAGAAGCTCTCTTCTATCCTTGGTTCCAATCAACTCTCCGTTTCACGAAAATCAAGGAGATGGAGTTAATGTAAGAAGAAGTTCTACCACGACGAAGAAGAGTCGAGGGCGGCGACAACACAATGGAGACAAGAGTCGAAGAAGAAGCACCTGCGTACTTAATAAATGCTCCGATCACTAATCAGAAGGAAAAGGAGAAAAGGAAGAGAGAGGTTCAATTAATAATAATAATAATAATAATAATAAGAGAGAAACAAGAAAAGTAAAATAGAAAAATTAGCGGCACAAATAAAGAGCATAAACCACCCGAAACTGATGGAAACATTACCGGCCTCCTAACAATTACCTCCGAAGACAAATAACAGGAAATCAAATAAACTTTTTTGGGAATATATATATATATATCTGCAAATTCCAACCAACAAGTTGCTCCAAAAGAGAACATAATAATTACAATAAAAGCGTAACGGCAGATCACTCCCTCCTTCATCATTCCCTATTGAGCTTTGTTATAGGGACCCAAAATATGGGACCAATAATGGGGACAAGTGAGGTGTCCCCCTTCTATTGGATAATGAATTGGCAATCATTAATAATGACTAACTCATTATCTAATAGGAGGAAGACACCTCACTTGTCCCCTCTATTGCTCCCATATTTTGGGTTTTTAAGGAATTTTTCTTCCTATGCTTTGCTATAGGGACCCAAAATATGGGACCAATAAGGAGGACAAGTGAGATGTCCCCCTTCTATTGGATAATGAATTGGTCATCATTAATAATGGTCAACTCATTATCCAATAGGAGGGGGACACATCACTTGTCCCCTCTATTGATCTTGGGTATTAATGAAAGCAAAGCCGTAGTCTCCTCCTTCACCATCACCCAATTCGTAGATCCTCAACGTTTGCCCAGCCTGCAACGCATTGTCCTTCATGAACCTCCCCCAGTCACTGCCGTTGAACCGATACCTACAATTACTGTCGATGAACTTGAAGAAAACATTGTACTCCCTCCCCCTCTTATCCATCACCGTCACGTCCTGCGAAGCCTTCGAATGTGATCGTATTGCAAGCTTCAGCAACGGCATCGACCGATCAAAGTCGTCTTTGCCGATCTCTAACCGGTTATGGTTTTTCTTTGCTTCTGTTACTGTCACCCTTTTCTTCAGACAAAACTTTGGCTCCGATAGACCTCTTTGAGCCGCTATCTGTCTCCATAGCCCCGTCTTGACTACCGGATGTTTCTCGTGTTGTTGTTGATTTTGTGAAGAAGGAGATGACGATGATGATTCCGTCAACCAAACCTTTCTCCTCTCCTCGTCCTCCTCCTCCTCTTCATCATCGTCGGTCATCGAAAAATAACAATGTGACCTTAAAGGATGATTCTCTTCTTCTCGTTGTTGTCGACTTGAAGGAGATGACAACCCTTTTATCCACTGAACCTCTCTCTTCCTTTTCTCCTTTTCCTTCTGATCAGTGATCGGAGCATTTATTAACTACACAGGTGCTTCTTCTTCGACTCTTGTCTCCATTGTGTTGTCGCCGCCCTCGACTCTTCTTCGTCGTGGTCGAACTTCTTCTTACATTAACTCAATCTCCTTGATTTTCGTGAAACGGAGAGTTGATTAGAACCAAGGATAGAAGAGAACTTCTCTCTGGCGAGCTACTGCCAGTCTGGTCTTCATGGGGTTTCAATACGCATGTAGGCTTTACATATATAGAGGCCAAGGTTTCCTCAGTTAAAAAGGAATCCTAGTCTAAGTAGAGTTAGGATACAGAGAAACTTAATAATTAGGGATTCCTAATACCTAGGCCTACTTGGAGTAGTAACTCTGAGGACAGAGGAATTTTCTGCGCGTACGTGACTCTTATTAGCAATAATTCTGAAGGGATTTCCCTTTCAATCTCCTCGTCCTTTTTATCTTTCTCGCTTTTGTCTAAACTGTGGATCACGTGGGGGGGACCACCACGTGAATGAGCGGAGTTTTATTCTCGCGTGAAGAGGTGAAAATCCAGGCCCACCCGACTTTCTCTGCGCAACTATATATATCAACTTGTTTTTTATTTAGGGTTGGGCGAAGGCGTGTGCAAGTGGCGGCTGTGTAAGCGTGCAAGGGTTTGTGCAATTGGAGGCGTGCGAGGTCAGGTGCAAGGTAATTGCTTTTGCGGCTGCGTGAGCAATTAAGGGTGTGCGGCGGCTGCAGAAAAGAAAAATGCTCGGCTGAGGGGATTTTGTTGGCGACTGTGCATGCAAGCTCGGCTGAGGCTTTAGAGTTAAAGCAGTCATTTTTTTTGGGTTTTGTGCATCCCCTTGAGAGAGATTTTGTAAGGGATCTAAGAGTTTGTGAGGGTTTAGATTATGAGATTGTAAACCTAGTTGTATCTCTCCCTCTAATAGTAGATCCCCCTCCTTGCCCCGTGGACGTAGGCTATTTGTCGAACCACGTAAAATTTGTGTTCTTGTCGTGATTTGTAATAGCTTGTAGGATCCCTCGACAGGTTAGTCCTAGAACTGATAAGAGGAAGAACCGATATCTCACTTTGTTGAGATATCCGCTTCAGATTCTTGTTTCCTTGGTGAGACAGGAATTCTTACGATCTAATCTCTTATTGTGCACCTTACGCACCGGAGGTGCTGCCGAAATTTCCGCTGCGCATAACAAGTGGTATCAGAGTCAGGTTGGATTTAGGAGCTTGTTCAAAGGATTCGCTGTTGGATTCCTATCTGAAGAGTTAGATCGACAACATGAGAGAAACAAGCATATCGGGATCGTCTCTTTCGAAGGCGATACAAAGTCTGAGCATCAATAACACGAAGATTGATGTTCCGAAGTTCAACGACAAGATTAATTTCGGATTATGGAGGTGTCAGGTGATGGACGCCTTGGATGCACAGAATTTGAAGGAGACTCTTGAGTTACAAGAGAAACCCGCTGATATAGAGGACAAGGTTTGGAAGAAGATGAATAGTAAGACTTGTGGAGTTATTCGGTCATGCTTGACGCCGGATCTTATTTATGACGTAATGAACGAGACATCGGCGAAGAGAATGTGAAAAACACTCAATGAGAAGTATCTGACGAAAAGCATTGAGAATCGGCTTCACTTGAAGAAGAGGTTTTACCAATTCAAGATGAAGAGGGGAGTTTCCATTCGGGAGCATGTTAACAACTTCACGAAGCTAATTTCAGATATGGCCAATGTAGATATCATGGTTGAGGATGAAGACAATGCGATGCTACTATTGTGTTCTTTGCCGGAGGATGATTTTGGTACATTTGTTCTCACTATGATAAATAGAAGAACTACGGTTAGCTACAATGAGGTGACCTCAGCTTTAGTGAATTATGAGTTGAGGAAGAGTAATGACGAACCCTCAGAGAATGCATCAGAGATGCATTAGCAGTTCGAGGCCGTGGTCCAAACCGTCGTCCAGGTGATCGTTCAAGATCGAAGTCAAGACGTGGCCATAGAAATATTGGTAGGAATCAATGTCGCTTTTGCAAAGAAGAAGGACATTAGAAGAACGATTGCCCAAAATTGAAAGATAAAACTGGGAAGAATAAAGGGAAAGCTGTATAAGCTTCGGAAGTGAATGTTGTCAAGGCTAGTGACGACAATTCAGATACAGATTCTTCAGGCTATTCCTTCTCTGCACTACCGTCAGTTTGTTACGCTGACTCTACGGAGTGGATGATGGATTCTGGTGCTACATACCATATTTGCTCTAGGAGGGATTGGTTCTCTAGCTTTGAGGAGTTAGAAAGAGGGGATATCGTGCTCATGGGTAATGATCACGTATGCCCTATTACTGGTATTGGTACAGTACGGATCCGGATGTATGACGGGGTGACTCGGGAACTGAAGGAAGTAAGATTCGTTTCTCAATTGACGAAGAATATCATTTTGTTTGGAACTTTGGAGGCAGCTGACTATAAGGTGATCTTGGAGAATGCGACTCTGAAGGTCACAAAGGGGTCCATGGTGGTGATACGAGGTGTCAGGGAAAACAATATTTACTACTTGAAGGGCAATACAGTAACAGGAGGTCTGACAGCTTCGA